GGGATTACAAGCGTGAGTCACCATGCCCAGCTAGTAAATTCTTGTTAACCATGGGTAGTAGATATATGAACCTGTGAAATTTATATTTTGGATAATTATAAAATCACAAGTATACTTTTCTCAGAGCCTTGTTTAGATAAAAGTTTAAGGAACACATCATCTATGTGTGTATGTTTAGATATTTTTGAAACAAAGTATGTATTTAATCAGTTTAATAATTCATTTAGTCATTCCAGTATTTCTTTATTGAGTGTCTAGTGTTTGTCAGGCAGTGGAGAAGCTGTGGGTAATTGGCACTATCCCACTGCAGTTACAGTCTGGGTCTTTCAGTCTACCCAGCAATGTGTGCTGATAATGTAAAAGTAAATTAATAAACAGGAATGGAATACAGAATGATTCTTATGAACTTGCTCATATATGCATAGCAATAGAAAGAGTACTTCCTAATTGCAAACTTATAGCACATACATCTGCTAGAAACTCCTTGTGCTAAGTACATGAATTCAGGCATTAATTCCACACAAAAATAAAAGCTAAAATCCTTTGTACCATGTATACAAATGGGACAAGTGAGCTTGACATTCAAGCTTTTCAATTCATGCAAAACTAAAAAAAAAAAAAAAAAGTAGTTTATTTTGGGGAGCTTCATTCGCACCTTCTTTGGCAAAAGATAAGTGACAGAAAACACACCAAGCAGAGAATGATTTTCTGTTAAAAGAGTGAGATTCTCCAATAAAGGAAAGAAATTTTGAAAGACAATTTTTACTCCTTAAAAAATAATATCCAAAGGAATGTAAGAATTAAATAATATGGAATAATAAAATTACTCATTTGCTTTTTATAATATTCCAAAATTTAAAAAGAGATAAAACACACATGATTTTACGTATGTATTCCTAATGGTTGAGTCTTTTAGATGTGCACAAATTAAAGCCTGATACGATTAATGCTAAAGGCCATTGCTTTTGCCAAATCAGTTTCTTAATAAAGATATGATAATTGGTGACGCAAGGTTAAAACTATGTTTTTTCATAAGTTTTGGATATGGGTAGTAAATATTTTTGAGTACTTCAAATTCTTCTAAAAACATCTACCGAATGAACTACCTTTTAAAAATAACTGTTTTTATACAATTAGTGGAGTTTCTTTAGTATCACATCTTTAAAAGGAAGGAATTAGAAAATCTAGCTTCAGGTCTTGGCTTCATGTTTTTGGGCCTCCCTACCTCATGTAGAAACTGAAAGGTTTGAGTTATTTTATCTCCCAAGTCTCTTCCAGTTCTGAAAGTGATTCCATCAGCCTGCCTATGTACTTTGAGGCATTTGAACAGTTTCAAGAAAACCTTGACTCATATTGAAAGAAGTTGCCATTGTATTCATATGAAAGTACAGAACAAAACTTGCAAACAGTTGCTGCTCATTACAGCTGATATGCTATAAATGGTTGTTGACACTGAGACCAGATGTCATGGAAAATCCTGCATCATTAGGAAGCAATGGGGGTGGGGAAGGAACCTATGTGTAAGAATGTCTGTGCACTCTATTTAAAAACCAATCTAGAAAGGGATTTCATTATAAGAATCTAAAGATCCTTTCAATATATAAAGACTAATATAATAGATTGCATTAAGTTGGCGTCATTAATAAAGACATTCCTCAAGTTACAAATATTAAATGTTCTGCACATTGAAATGACCAGCTGCACTGGAATGTAGTAGCTAATCACTAATGTGTGTGTTGTCACCACAGAGGACAGAGCTCCTATGATAAAACCCAGTGTGATTTTATTATTTCATAGAAACTGTTATGAGATATAATTTAGTACCTTATAATGTTCATTTGAGAAATTAAGGAACTAATTAATTAGCTCCAGGCATTTGTGAGTTGCCCAAGTCAACACAGGTAATAACAGTTAGGGCCAGGACATGAACCCAGATCTTCATCTAAATCATCACCCTGCCTGTTTCTCTCACAGTGCTGTGGTCCATAGTCAACTAGCTACATTTGAAGATCTGGGTTTCTGATCTCATCTGTCTGATTTGTGTTAGAAAATCAAAAAAGTGGAATAGTAGCAAATAATTGTGGAGTGGTGGTCTTTTCTAAGGAGGTAATCATTAATTAGGTGAGAAATTCTACCCTTTCAGCTTGGGTAAACTATATTTGCAAATTATCTTCCTTTCTGTAGGCATTCAGAATTTAAACTAACCTTGCCAACAAAATTCTGTAGTACAATATTTTTAACTTGGAAGCTATGTGAGTGGTAGTAATTCAGGAAAATTAGAATAAATGTGCTTGTCCTGATTAAAATGTTCCTCTAGAAAGTCTTAGTGACTAAGCCTCCCACACAATCACAGAACATGATAGGAGGATTATTCAAACTGATATATACCAAAGAGTTATATAGAAATCAAACTTGTGTGATTATTTTTAATGTTTCATTGGAGCTGCCCTTTAAAGCAATCTTGTGATGAAATATTAAAAAGTGAATAATCCCTTAAACTCATCATCCTAAACTTTTTAGTTTTCATTATACAATTTCATTTTAGATCCTAAATTTTAGTAATCATCCTAATTTTTAAATTTTCATTATATAATTATATATTTCAGGTTTGCCTAAAGATATACATAAATATGAAATCATGTTAGTCTCTTCATTGTTACACCTACACAGTCACCTTCAAATAACCCTGCCTTTTCTTGTACATAACTGCAGCTGAACAGTCTTCATGAGTATAAGGTGCAACTCTGGTCCAGATGGATTTACTATTTTCTGGATGACTCACAAAGGCCCTACAGTGAGGTCTTCTTTAGTTATGAATATTTGCCCCAGTCATTCAGAGGATATATGTGCATGATAAAACTTTAAGATGTTCCATTTCTTCTGAATCAGCAAGTTCGTGGTGCTTGAGGCATAATGCACATAGCCCTGCCCAGCAGCTTTTTCATTTAGTGATAAGAGTGAAAACACACTATTTTTTAAAAGGTTATTTACCAGTGACGCTGACAGTTGCTCAACAAACTTATCACTTGACTTCAAACACCTAAAATGTGATTTCTAAAGTGATTGGAACTGAGTCTGTGGTTGACAAATTAGGACAGATGTGTATTAACAGAAATCTCTGACATGCCAATGCTTTTGAAAGTGAAGAAAGAATTAGAATCAACCATTGCTTACAGTTTGATGAGCTTTATCCAAGTTGATTATTCCATGAATTAATAGTTGGAATTTAACTTCTTGATCAAATTAGGAAATGCATCAATGTGGTAGACCATAAATTTTAGTTGCAAAAATAAAATGTCAATTGAAAATAATTTAACATGAGTAGATACTATTGTATATTGATAAACAAAGTTCCAAATAAATTTCAAATGTTAGGTTTTACTAAAAGTCATTTCAGAATAAAAGCCTTTTATATTCTTGAGATATCTTCATCCCATACTCCAAATTAAATTATGTATTTAGTGTTGAGGTAGTTAAAAATCCCTATCAGCCCCACAAAATTAGAAAAGTTTTCTCACATTTACCAGTCATTATAATAGCGATGAATCTGATGGCAGTGAGCAACAATAGCCTGAAGAAGTCTGGTATTTGGTTAAAACTTACTCGCCAACATTCTAATTTCTTACAGATTTAACTTAATTTCTTCCAAGTTCTGGTTATGGGTCTTTGCTAATGTGCATGGCTGGCTTAATTAATAAATTAGGTACTGGTTTAGGCTGTGTTTACACAAGGTCGAAACAAGCAACAGAACTGACTAATTCAGTGAGAAAAATGTAGCCAATTTGATTTTTAAAGCATGACATTTCTTGTTTATTAACATATAAACAAAATGAATTTGATTGACTGAATTTTTAGATTTTCAGACAATCGTTTTGGCACTTGTAGAGTCCATTGTTTCCCAGCTTTTTTCAGTCTGAGACACACCTCTAAATTTGCTGGGTTATGTCCCCAAATAGGAGGACTTTGAACTATTCTCTCATATACATTCTAACCCAATATATTTATCGAGTTTGGAGTTGTACATCCTTAACTGTATATATTAATCAGCCTCCTTTTCCTAACCATCTTCATTTCTTAAAATCCACAAAAGTGATTCGTGGAAATTGAAGACTGTTCCCTGGTGCTTATTTTCAAAGTACTAATGTGTCTTGATAACATTGGTTGGGAAACAGTGGTATAGACACAGCCTTATTCCAAGACTGAGTTATCAGCCCTTGCATAATGATAAATGCCCAAGAAAATAAAAATATGTCTTTCTCATAGTACTCTGAGATGGAAGAATAAATATATAAGTAATGCTCTGAATCACACTTTGAAGAAATGTAAATTATGTTTTAAAAGCTGGCTTATAAAGAAAAAAAAAGCTGACTATAACATTTGGCAAATAGTAGTATACTCTTTCTGCCTTTAAGAATAAACAGATTCTTAAAGACAGCAATTTTAATACATAATTCAGAGTAAGTCTCCAAAATTTGTACCAAAATTGTTTGGAAACATTGAGGAATCAAAATCACTACATTTGGGTCCAAACTCTTGAAGTTAACTAGGATTTAATTTGCACAGTTTCATTTGCCAAATGTCTGTAGATTGGTCCAACTCTTGTTATTATTTTGCCAAGTTTCCTTCTGCTGAAAATGTCTGCTCTGTTAGGCTTCTAAGTCAATGTCCATGGCCAAGTCTGAATCCTGAGCGGTCCTTGGAAACATGTGAGCAGGTCAAGACAGGTGCTGTCATTCATTTGATCCCTCCCCAAGTATATTCTCTCTTCTACCCAGTATCTCTCTAGGACAGTTATGCATCTGTCTGAAGCCTGCGCACATGATAATATTTAATCGTTTTCTAACTGTATTTTCCCTGGGATTTAGGAATGGCAGTCTCCAGGAGAGATGACAGTGCATGAATTTTTTTTCCCCCTAATCCTGTAAAATGTTGTTAGTTTTGAAGAGTCGCTTAAAATAGGTTCTCACGTCAGTCTCTTTTTTTTTTCTTTCTAAATAAAGCCTGAGAATTTGCTTTTAGCTAGCAAATCCAAGGGAGCAGCTGTGAAATTGGCAGACTTTGGCTTAGCCATAGAAGTTCAAGGGGACCAGCAGGCGTGGTTTGGTGAGTAGGGCCCCCTCCTTCATGCTACCTGTAGTCTTCTGGCTTCTGACTTCTGGCTCCTAATCCCACTTCCTAGTGAAAATAAAATGGAAAAGTTCATTCTAATAACAATTTGACTAATTTTAAGATATTGTACCTTTATAAGCACTTACTTTTATTGACATTAAAGGGTATATAATCTAGAAATAATTTAAGGGAAAATATTAATGGGAGAACAAGAAGACATATACTTTTTTTCTCAAAGGATGTTTGAGAAAGTGCATTATTTAGTAAGCATTAATTAGAGGATTACAACATTCAAAGAGTACTTTTTTTATTTGAAAGAAAGTTGATTGTTTGCATATAGCCTCATATGATGCCAAAAACTGCTATGTGAATAGTAGATGCTCAAGAAACACAGGCTATTTCACATATAATACTTTATGATTTATGAATTAAAGATTGTTTAAAAATTATGAAGCATGTATTTATGTGTATATTTCACCTTAGTTATTTTATATGTCTTCAACATGCCACTTTCCTCTCAAAAATTCTGATAATTTAGAAATTTTTATGTGATGAAATTTCTGCTTCTTTACAATTAAGGAAGAAATTAATTCTAAATAAATTCAAATTATAGTATTTCTAACCAGACTTAGGTTTTGTTTCAGTATTCAGCCTGAATAAATTATTTACTCATTAATTTTCATATGCCTCTCTCTGCCATTTTCCAATATCCAACCCACTTCTCATGTAGAGTTCTAAAAATATAACCTCTCCCCAAGCCTGTCTTCCTTCTCTCCTGACTTTCAGTGTGTTGAGGTTAGATAATTTTTTTAATGCCCTTCATTTCTGATTTCTTTTCTTCCGAGCACAACAAATAGAGGACTAAAAACATGCTATTTCTTTGTTTTATATGCAAACGCTTTTCTGTATCCCTAATGTACACATCTCCCAAGATGTGCACATTACTCCCAGGATTCACCACATCTCCCTTATCCGCCCCAGCTGTTACTGGGAGTGGATGGTGTGCCAAGCCTTCCTGGCAGCCTAATGCAGGACTTTAGTTCCTGCTGCCTGTCCTGTTTCGGTAGTACCTGACAGTTATTCTTATTTGAAGCCCCTCTCATGTTTAATATTATCTTTTACATTGTCTTTTTAGCCCCCAATCCCAGATGAATTTAATACCTCCAAACTTGTCATTTTGTTAATAATATTTTAACTTTTTAATAATCTTGTTCCCATTAACTGCAAACTGAAAGAAGGTAGGACCTAGATTAGGTCTGTAAATTACAGATTCAAATTATCTCTGTATCCTGGAAAAGAGTACAGTTAACACAGAAAGAATATATTGTAACAAGAGTTAAAGGTTGAACAGGAAGTAGTGGGGCTATCACAGAGATGGGCAAAGCAAATATTAGAGATACATAAATAAAGTAGGAAGTCCTGACCCTGGAGGAGCTGAGGCTTTTGTATCAATAACTATTTACCATTCAGGATGGAAGTATCTTAACAAAGGAATGTATAAGGAGCTGAGGGAACACAAGACAGGAAGTACAAAAACTGCCTTTGGAGAGAGGTTCAATAATTGCCTTAACACCTATGGTTGCCTAAAGGATGAATGAGACTTTGTTCACCGTCGTGCAAGAAGATTAAAGCATTCCAGATAGAGGGATCTGCACATGGAAAGGCTCAGAGGCATGAAACTATTTTTTCTACTACAGTAAAACAAGAAGTTTGATAAAGCTAAAGTATACTCAGGTGAATAGTAGTTAATGAGGCAGGAAATGATTTTATGTTTATTTGAAGGGTTTGGATTTCACTTTAGAGGTTTTGGGATCTGGTGAAACATTTTTAGAAGAGAGGTGTATGTTGTTTAATAATGATTCCAGTAGAAGTATAGAAGATGATTTAAGGATAGTTAATCTGAAAGCAAGGACCCAGTTAGACTAAAGCAATCATTCAAATTATGCATGATGATAGGTTTGACTAGGGAGGGTGTAGGAGCAAACAAGTTCCAAGTAACATACAGATCAGACAAGAAATATGAACTCTAAGGGAATCCGTTTAGGAAACATGAAAGTCCCAGACATTGGGTTCGAAGACAGGACTGGAGTCCTGTGTAGAGCAAAGCAGGACCCCACCTCATGAGAGACTTGGAGTATGAGGCAGGATACAAAAATGGGAACTTAGGCCCAGGAATATAATTGCCAGAAATTGGTAAAGGTGATGATTGGATATCAGGAGTAAGATAGAAGCCTTTGTTATCAGGTCTGAGGCTCAAATTAACATCAGCAGCTGTGTTTGATGATTACAAGAATGTTGGAATCAAGCTCCTTAAATCTCTTCTGTTTTTGAGCTTAATGTTTTATCTCCTCTGCTAGGACACATACAGTTTGAGAATAGGGCTATGTGTAGTGAAAACAATTTTACTTTTTGATTCAGAATATATGAATTTATATCTTGGCTCTGATTCTTAACAGCTGTATGATATTGAGCAAGTCACTTTAAATCTGTGAGGTCACTGTGCTCTTTGTAAATGGGATAATAAACGCTTCTTCACAGGACTGTTATAAGATTGAGTGAAATAGTCCATAGAAACTTGAGTGAGCTATAAAGGATGTTCAGTAAGTTTTCAAAACCATCTTGGTGTGAAACAATGACATAGTTCTTTGCATATTCAGTGAAAGTTATTTAGTGAATCAGTGAGTAGAAGACGAATATCAGGTCAGTAAAAGCAATAGCGTCCAAATAAAAGTACATAGGTTTTCAAATTGTTATTGATTTCTAAAAGCAAGCTGGTCCCAAAGAAGCAGTGACAGCTCAGCAATAAAATTTCCACTTCATCAGTATGGTGCTATCAACAATTAAGTTATTGTTAAGGTACCTGTTAGAGTAATAACGTTTAAAAGAAGCAACATCTTAAGTTCTACGGCGATTCAGTATTTCAAAAGTACAGAAAAACATAGTGTCTAAACTTAGGAGAATATACTTCTTTTTTCTCTTTCTTTTTCTTTTCTCAAGTTCATGCAAATCTTCATGGTAACCTGAGGAAAAAGGAGACATGTGGTGTTCTATGTTTCTTTCTAATGAACTGCCAGATATATTTTAAGTATTAGGAGTAAAGGCATGTTTTAATAATGAATGACCTGTTATGATGTTTATTCATTATGATCTGCCATTATAGTCCCATGTATTTTGACTGATTAATTTTATCTTTCAAAATGTAATATCAATGATTATGGTTATTCTAATTTTGATAAGGAGCAGAACTCTTTCTGCATTATGTGAAATACCAGAGCTTCAGGCTTTTACATAATTTTATTTTAATAAATATACAAGGTCTATTACAAATAAGAAAAAAACATATAATATGTATACAAAACAACATAATAAATAATACAAAGCATTATGGAAGCTGTTTATTGTGGAGTTTTTTTTTAATTATCATTTTTCAAGTCCAAACTTGCATGTCTTTTCCCATATTTACTTTTCATTTTCTAGTCTGGTCTGTTGGAACACTAGCCAAAAATGGTAGAAGTAAACACCCTGTCACTATACTTGATAAGATGGCTAGAAAAGGAAATATTCAGATATATTCTGTTTCTCTTATGGAACTGGACATGTTATTTGCAATACATTTCTAGCATTTTGTTGCTGCTGGGAAACAAAAAAGAAACATAACTACCAAGATCTTGGTTCATGGAAGAATTACTTTGCTTGGTTGCTGTTATGTCTCTTTTTTATGATATTAAGGTTCTTTTTATGACAGTATGTTATAATGGATACATTTCCAACAGTCAGTAATTCTCTTTTCTCTTTGTGTTATCTATTTTGATATTCTTATTGGTTTTTCAAAGTAAGAAATATACGCTATCCCTAAAAAAGGCAAGCTCTCATTACTTTTTCTGTTGATGGCATGTAGTATGAGAATCCTAGATTCTTGCAAGTTTAGTTTCCCACAAAGAAGGTCTTATCTATTTTACCCTCCGTATGTCTGTATTTATGAGGTCACATTGTACAGTACATTGTGTCCTAACATCCATGCATTTAGATATATGCTTCAATATTCTTGGGGTAAGGACCCCATTGACTGCTCAAATGATGATTGTAACTAAGTGAGAATGAGCATGATGGTGTTCTCTTAGAATTTTAGTCTCCAGAAGAAGTTTGTAATAATTTACATTTTAAATGATCTTTTCATTTCTTACTCACATAATAACTTACTTCCCTATCTTAGGGAAGCTTAGGAGAGATATTGTTAACATTTCCTATTTCTGGCCATGCATTCTAAGTTGTTGAAATCATACATTATTAAAGTTTACTGATTTAGACAGAAGAGTACAGATTGTGTATAAAAGAGTGGTTGAAATTCAGGGTGAGAAGGGATCACTGAGAACTGTAGGTAGCTAAGGAGAGTTCTAAGATGGAAATAACTTAGAGCCACTCTCTGTTAGAAAACGGGTAGAGAAAAAATATTGAGGATTCAAGGAACAGAAAAAGTAGTATCAAGGGTGACAATGAGAAGACCATTTTTTAAAGACCTTAAAGAGATTAGTCAGGTCAAAGGCTCAGAAGGAGAATGAAATCATGTTGAATGAATGAAGGGTAGCCAGATGATAAAGGATCTGAAAGTGCTCACTAAGAACATTGGATTTAATCTGGACTTTAGCATCGGTTTCTCATTGGAGTCTCAGTGCCTGTCAACTCTGGAGGAGTTGGAGAAGGACGGTGAGAGTGGAGGGGACAGAAGCACTGGCAAACTCTTTAAAGCAATTGTGCCCATCTCCACCTTGGAATTCACAGACTGCATATCACTCCTTGAGGAAATCTTCAAGCTTTAGGCAGTGGAACCACCATTATTGTCAGTAATTCTCTTTACCTCACAACTACCAACCAAATATTTATTTCAAGGCAAGTTTGAGGTACAGATGGATTACCCAGGGTCCATTTGAAGCTAAATTACAACATACAGGTCTTTCCTTGGCGTCCCTTCTAATTGTCTATCCAATCTTCCCCCAAAACAAACAGAAAAAGAAGAATGGTAATAGAAAAGAAAAAATATTGAGTGCAAAATTTTTTTCCTCATTTTCTATTTTGTTCAGAGAAGTAACTGTGTTGTATATATTGTCTTTTTAATACCTCTTTGCATGTTGTTTGTACTTAATAAGTATAAATTTGTCACAGAAATGAGGGGGAAAAAGTTTCTTTCTTGGACACTTTGCATTTCAGTAAGTATACAGTGTGTTTCATCAGTGATCTGTGGTTGGAGAAATTCCATTATATATACTTTTAAAAAGATTTTTTTTTGTTTATTTGTGCTTTTAAAGAAAACTTCCAAATGAGGATAGTTATTTTTAGTACGTTCCAAGCAAACATTTTTATTTAAAAAACTGTTATTTTCAGAAATAAGTATTTTACTCTAGATTCTAGCTATAAATTGTTTTTAAGTGTAACTTATTGAATTCTATGCCAATATGTATAATACGAAGTTTTCTTTCCCCATCTAGTTTTTCTTACTACATCTCTTTCTTAAGTTGAATGTCTAGTTGATACTTGTTTAATAGTGATTCATCTGAATATTCCTGCATCTTCTCTTTAGTTGCCAGTTACAAGTACATACTGATTATTTATTAGTACACAGTGAGCTCTGTGATATATTTTGGACTTATATCTTCTCCTGGTGAGTTCTTCTCCATATTTCTTTTCAGGTGTAGTTTTAACTCCCATATACATAAAGGACAATAAGAATTACTAACCGGAAATGGCCTTAAATGTACAGAGTGACTTTGCAGCGTAGTAGATTGGCCTTCATATCTGAAAAAAAAGATATATTTTTTTCAAATGAGTTGCAGGGCAGGGCATACTAGTGTTGATATTTCTATAAAGAGAAAGTCTACACTATTTATTGCTCTGAGAACCTTGTTGTATTTTGAAAAACATATCATCAGATAAAGAAGCCCCTGAAAATTTTCTTTCTTAGTTTCCCATTTCATATTGTTTTGTCAATTCAACTGTGACTCATTAACACCTCTTTCCCCTAGGTTTTGCTGGCACACCTGGATATCTTTCTCCAGAAGTTTTACGTAAAGATCCTTATGGAAAGCCAGTGGATATGTGGGCATGTGGTAAGCAATTATATTTTGGAGCAAATTTTGTGATATGCTAGTGTCTTAGTCCATTTGGTCTGCTATAACAATCTGTCATAGACCAAGTGGGTTAAATAACAAAAATGTATTTCTTATTTATTTATTCATTTATTTTGATAGAGTCTTGCTCTGTCGCCCAGGCTGGAGTGCAGTGGTACAATCCTGGCTCACTGCAACCTCTGCCTCCCAGGTTTAAGGTATTCTCCTGCCTCAACCTCCTGAGTTGCTGGGATTACAGGCACGTGCCACCATGCATGGCTAATTTCTGTATTTTTAGTAGAGACAGTGTTTCGCCATGATGGTCAGGCTGGTCTTGAACTCCTGCCTCAAGTGATTCACCTGTCTCAGCCTCTCAAAGTGCTGGGATTACAGATGCGAGCCAGCACGCCTAGCCACAAAAATTTATTTCTCACAGTTGTGAAGGCTGGGAAATTCAAAATCAAGGTGCTAGCAGATTCGGTGTCTGGTGAGGGCCTGCTTTTAGTTTTGTAGAGAGTCACCCTCTCTTTGTGTCTTCATATGGCAGAAAGGGAGAGGGGGCTCCCAGGGTCTCTTTTATAAGAGCATTAATCCCATTCATGAGGCCTCCATCCTACCAAAGACCTCACTTTCCTTCCTTCCATCATATTAGGAGTTAGGATTTTAACACATGCTTTTTACAAGGGACACAAATATTGTCTATAACAACCACAATTTTTGTAATTTAAAATACAAGTTGAACATCCCTAATCAAAAAATCTGAAATTTAAAATGCTTCCAAAATCCAAAACATTTTGAGTGCCAATGTGATTGCCGTGTGTGGAAAATTCTGCACCTGACCTCATGTGATGGGTTGCAGTCAGACACAGTCCAAACTTTATCTTATGCAAAAAATTATTTAAAATATTTTATAAAATTACCTTCAGGCTATGTGTTTAGATGTATATAAGATGTAAATGAATTTCATGTTTAGATGTGGGTCTCATCCCCAAGGTATCTCATTATATATGTATAAATACTACAAAATCTGAAAAAATCCAAAATCTAAAACATTTCTGGTCCTTAGCATTTTGGATAAGGGATACTCACCCTGTAATATCTTTTAAATTTGAAGTTGATATTCTCTAGCAATCAGCTTAGAGTAGAAGTTCTCAAACCTCAGTCTACAACAAGATTACATGGAGAGCTGTTTAAAGGACAGATTGCTGTGTTTCTGATTCAGTATATCTAGGATAGAAACATTTACCTTTTTGACAAATTCTCAGGTGATGCTAATGCTGCTGTTTTCTGGAACACTTTGGTAACAGGGATGTGGAACATTGCTCCTAGTGGTTATGTATTTATGCTGCTATCTTCTCAACCAGTCCTTCCAATAAATATTGTTTGCCCACGATACTTGGCAGAGATTAAGAGTGAACTAGTAAATATTGGAAAATCATGAAATTGGCCATCCTGTGGGGACAAAAGTCTGACTTAGGCCTCTATCTGCCAACTCAAATCAAAAACAGTATCCTATACAGGCCCAAAGACATATAATGGGGGAAGATTTTCACCCACACTTTTTATGTGGAATTTTTATGTTTCAACATATACTTTGAATATGTGAAAGACTGAATGAATACTGCAATATTACCCTACTAAGATTATCAACATAATCACCTAAATTCCTGACACTATGTCGTTGCTACCAGCCTACAAGTAGATACCTAACTATCATAGTTTGGCTTTAGTGTGCTGCAGACAGATTTCAGTGCCTTTGGTGTTTGTCAGCAAGCTTAGAAAAAGTTGATTTAAAAAACTTTACTTGATTCTGAAAATAATTTTTTAGACTTGGTTTTAGTTTAAAAAGTTAATAAATTCATCATCACTACTTTATAGTGATAGACTATTCCTCATTATATTTCTTGTCAGCTTTACCTCTTTGGTAACAACTTGGCGTCTGATCTTAAACTGATTGAATCTTGGGCTTTCAGAGTTACCTCCATGCCTGGGAAGGCAGTGGTAAAATAGGGCACTATATTTATAGTCTCAACCCCTGGGGTTCAGTTTTTACTTTTTACCTACTAACCCAGCCTCTTTAATATATCTGAGTTGGTTTCTTTATCTGTAAAATAGGAATATGTTACCCTCAATGAACTGTAGGAGGGTCAAATGCAGTACACTTTAAAGGAAGACAATTGACAGTTGCTACTTAATTAATGGGTAAGGTCTCAGGAATGCCCCAAGCTCTGCCTTCCTTCTACCTACCTGAGAGTATCTTCTAAGGCATGAGCTCTAAAATGCCTCTGAATTACAGCATTGTCACAAAATATCTTTGTTCAAATCTAGATGTTAACGGCAGATAACTCAGATATTTTGCTTGCAATAAATCAGCTCCCAGCATACATAGATCTGTTTCTGCTGAGGAATTTAAAAAGCAACAGAGTGGCCTGAGACTCAGGCAAACACAGATAGATTTTGTGAAGGATACAATCATATTTTTAAAGTATTTTTAAAACATGATAAAGCTATATTTTTGTAAAGATAGGCGGTTTTGGCTACAATGCTGCACTTGGAGCTTGAATACTAGAGGGACAGTGTGGCATACAATAATCAGTAACCAAGGGAAGCAGGACCCAGCATAAGGGACATTTCATACTTTTTCTTTGCTTACTTCATCGAAAGGCCTCTTCCAGCCTCTTCTGCCTTTGTGTTTATCTCTCCTTGTTTTCCTAGTTTCCTTCCTATTTTCCACTTTTTTTTCTTCATCCTTCCTGTTTACTTCATAGGTAGGATGCAGTATGTGTAGTGGTTAAGAGAACACACCTAGCTTCTCAGTTCACTTGCTGTATGACATGGCTCAAATTATCTAGTCCTTGCGTCTCAGTTTCCTCTTAGAAATGGAGACCATCAAAGTTCTTGCTTCATGGGGCTGCAGAGAGGATTTTTTAAATACAGTAAGTGATAGTTATCATTGTTATTATTATACAAAGTCTTTATTTATAAACGAAGTTTCTAGATAACTGATATACGCCTTATAGTAGACTTAAAAAACGAAGTGTATTATACAACTCAGCATTACTGGTGTGATTAGCAGTAGAATGCCCTCATCTGATGACCTGAATACCAAATTCTCTCTCTCCCTCTCTCTGCTTTCTTTCTTCACTTTTAAATTATTTTCTCTTGTTTTATTTGGTAAAAGGTTATTATGGACCGATTTCACAACTTCTGAATCATATTTTACTCCACCAAAGAATTTAAATAAATTATTCATTTGTTCTTATATCAAAAACATTTTTTCATGTTTCAAATGTGTCACCATAAAAAAATGATAGACAAGTGAGGTGATGGATATGTGAGTTAGCTCTATTTAATTATGCCACATCATGTATCTATACATATCAAAACATCATATTATACCCCATAAATGTATTCAATCATAATTTGTCAATCCAAAAAAATTAAGAATTTTTTGAAAATTTAAAACCTTTTTTTAATAATGTATAAGTTTTATTGGTGTTGAAGAATATCAGGTCCACTAAAAAGAAACCTGAAAAGCTAAGAGTTTGTACTAGGGATTCTTCTCTGGGTATGCAGAAAAATCAGTGATGAAGCATATACAGGCACACCTCAGAGATATTATGGGTTTAATTTCTGGTCTCACAATAGAACAAATATCAAAATAAAGTGAGTCACACAAATTGTTTGGTTTCCTAGTACATATAGAAGTTATGTTTACACTGTACTACAGTCTATTAAGTATATGATAGCATTATGTCTAAATGCATATACCTTACATAAAAAAATACTTTAAAATAGCCAGGCCCAGTGACTCACGCCTGTAATCCTTGCATATTGGAAGGCCAATGCAGGAGGATCCCTTGAGTCCAAGAGTTTGAGACCACCCTGGGCAACATAGGATGACCCATCTCTATAAAAAGAAAAAAAAAAACTATATTGCTAAAATATCATCATCATCTGAGCCTTCAGTAGGTTGCAATATTTTTGCTGGTGAAGGGTCTTGCCTCAGTGTTGATGGCTGTTGACTTATCAGAATAGTTATTGCTAAAGGTTGGGGAAGCTGGGATAATTTCTGAAAATAAGACAACGACGAAGTTTGCCACATCAGTTAACTCTTCCTTTCGTGAAATATTGCAATACTCACCAAAATGTGACACAGAGACATGAAGTGAACCCAAGTTGTTAGGAAAATGGCACCACAGACTTTCTTAATGCAGGGTTACCATAAACCTTCAGTGTGTAAAAAATGCAATATCTGCAAAGTACAGTAAAAAAAAAAAAACACACACACACACAATAAAACAACATATGCCTTTATATCAAAATGCCCAAATCCTGCATGGGCCTCTGCTTTAGTGGATCTGTGGTAAACACAGGAAACTGCATTTTTAATAACCTATGATGTATTATCAGAGTTTGGATTCACTGTTTTAGACTCACAAAACACACTATGTTCAATTGTAATATTACTTTGGTATATTTGAGTTTACGTGGATTGTCTGAGTGCATTTCTGTGATACAGTTCATATATCTAACCTTTTAAAATAATGGAATATCTTATAATAGTGAGATTTCATATCTGTGAAATGCGAGAGAACTTATAAGGTAGAAGCTCTAACTTTCTTGTCTAGAAGAGGGAAAAAGGATAGGTAGAGAGTAGTTTCCATCTTTGTTTTCTGAACTATATAACATTTTTTTAGCTGTTAAGCAAATATTAGATGGATACTATGTACATATGTACACACACGTCCACACACACACAGATATCAAGAATGACTCCTTAGAAACTTATAGCCATAGGGCATCTCATAGATTTTTAACCCCAATTTTACCACCTTTCACCTTGCTGTATTCTATCCTTTCTTCACATAATATTAGGCAAACAGCCAAATTCCTTTGTGATGAGCCATGCCCCAGTTGGAGCATGTATGTGCCACCAATTTCCATTTCTTTAGAGATTGTGTGGACCCTTTGTCTAGAAATGCACTTGGGATCACACA